GATCAAGAGCCAATGATACTGAAGGAGGAAGTCCAAGGTGCATTGAAGGAGTTGGCAAAGAACAAGGCACCAGGAATTGATGGGATAAAAATCGAAATCTTTCAAGAATTTGAGGAGGCACAGGACATACTCACTAATCTCTGCCAAGAAATTTGGAAGACAAAATCTGGCCGACTGATTGGAAGAGATCCATATTTTTGCCCATTCCAAAGAGGTGACCCAACGGAATGCGGAAATCATCATAGGACAATCTCTTTGATATCCCATGTGAGTGAAGTTTTACTAAAGGTAATAGAGAAACAGCTGCAAGCATACATTGACAACTTCCAGAGGTTCTAGCCAGATTCAGAAGAGGCCATGGAATGAGGAATATCATTGCTGATGTCCAATGGATCTTGGCTGAAAGCAGAGAATATCAGAAAGATGTTCACCTGTGCTTTATTGTCTATGCAAAGGCTTTCGATTGTGTGGATCATGACAAGCTATGGGCACCATTGTGAAGTATGAGTATTCTAGAACACTTAATTGTGCTCATAAGGAATCTGTACCTGGACTAAGAAGCAGTTGTTCAAACAGAACATGGGAACACTGGATGTTTTAAAATTAAGAAAGGTGTGCAACAAGGTTGTATTATTTCACCATACCTATTCAACTTGTATGCTGAGCAAATAATCTGAGAAGCTGGGTTATATGAAGAAAAACGTGGCATCAGGATTGGAGGAAGACTCGTTAACAACCTGCGATATGCAGATGATACAACTTTGCTTGCTGAAAGTGAAGAGGACTTAAAACATTTACTGATGAAGATCATAGAGCACAGCCTTCAGTATGGATTACATCTCAATGTAAAGAAAATGAAACTCCTCACCACTGGACCAATAAACAACATTCTTATCAATGGAGAAAAGATTGAAGTTGTCCATGATGGAATCTCTCATCCACATGCATAATAAAATGGCTGCTTACCACGCTTTCACTCTCCCTCCCAGAACCTCTCTTCCAACCTACAGGAACTTCCTCTCTCCCTACCTGTAAGGCATCCCTAGTCAACCTATCACTTACCTCTACTAATCTCAACCCCGCCGTCCTCTTTAACCAGTATAAAAGTCCTTCCCCCCGCAGCAATACTCTCTCTCTCTCTCCTCCCAACCTCCAATAAAGCCTTACACGTGGGTGTTTGTGTTCCGGCTCATTCCATCTCACAGTCCAGGACTTCATTCTTCTTGGATCAACTGTCAACACTCATGGAAACAGCAGTCAAGAAATCAAACGACATATTGCATTAGGCAAATCTGCTGCCCAAGACCTTTTTAAAATGTTGAAGAGCAAAGATGTCAGCTTGAGGACTAAGGTGCACCTGACCCAAGCTGTGGTATTTTCAATAACCTCATTTGCATGCGAAAGCTGGACAGTGAATAAGGAAGACCGTAGAGGAATTGATGCCTTTGAGTTATGGTGTTGGAGGAGAATATTGAAAGTGCCATGGGCTGCCAAAAGAACCAATAGATGCGTTTTGGAAGAAGTGCAGCCAGAGTGCTTCTTAGAGGCCAAGATGGCCAAACTTCGTCTCTCAGACTTTGGACATATTATCAGGAGAGAGCAGTCACTGGAGAAGGATATCATGTTTGGTAAGGTGGAGGGTCAGAGAAAAAGAGGAAGATCCCCAACGAGATGGATTGGCCAAGTAGCAGCCTCGATGGACTCAAGCGTGGCAACAGTAGTGAGGTTGGCCCAGGATCGGACAGTGTTTTGTTCTGCTGTGCATAAGGTCGCTACAGGTCGGTACTGACTTGATGGCACCTAATAACAACAACAACTCTCTAGTTAGTGATTTTCCTCCCTCCCTGTCCCATCCCTGGTAACCATCAAATAATGTTTCTTTCTGTGTGTAAACCTTTCCTTGACTTTCTATGTTGTTATTAAGTGCCGTTGAGTCAGTTCCGACCCATAGCAACCCTGTATAGGATTTCTGAGGAGCCACTGGTGAGCTTGAACTGCCAACCTTGTGGTTTAAATCTACTTTCCAGTCCAGTGCATTAACCCACAGCGCCACACCAGGACTCCTGACTTTTTATCGTAGTGGTCTAAAGCAACATTTTTCCTTTTTTGATAGACTTAGTTCATTCAGCATAATGTCCTCCAGGTTCATTCATGTTGTGAGATGTTTTACAGATGCAGTGTTTTTCTTGAACGTTGTGTAGTATTCCATTGCATATATGTGATTCTGTGTTAATGGCATTAAAAATTGAGCAAGCTAAGAGATTCATGTTAGAATAACAGCAATCCACTGCCTTCGTTTCCTTTCCTTTTACTTTCTCTGCCACAATGCCTTTTAATTGTGCTGTTTGATTTTTTTTTGGTCAACTTCTTGCAGTTAGCTCTTGTCATGGACTCTTATAGGCAGAGATTATATACAGTTATTAGTTTTTACGTACAACATACCATTTAATGGATTGGTATACCCAGGTGTTGTAGCACTATCTTCTTGTATTAACAGCAAAACCAGAAAAAAGAGCAAATAAGTTTTTTTTTTAGGATTTTAAGAAAAGATTTAATGTGTCAACAATGTTGTTGTGTGCCATTGAGTCAGTTCAGCCTCACAGTGGCTCTATAGGACAGAGCACACTGCCCCCAAGGGATTTCCTAGGCTGTAATCTTTACACTTAACAACAAAAACAACAATCTTTACAGAAGAAGATTGCCACATTTTTCTTCTGTGGAGCAGCTGATGGGTTTGAAGAATGCCAACCTTTTGGTTAGCAGCCAAGTGCTTAAACATTGTGCCCCCAGCGCTCCTTGTGCCAACCATAGTATGCTAAAAGCAGTGGTGATGGTGGTGGTGTACCGTGCAGCCAATTCCAACTCATCTCAACTCTTTGTATAGGGTTTCCGAGGCTATAAATTTTTAGGGGAATTGAAAGCCTCATCTTTCTCTTGTGGAGTGCCTTATGGACTTGAACAGCTGACTTTGCAGTTAGCAGCCCAAAGTATAATCCACTATATTACTAGGGCTCCTTAAAAGTAATAGATACCTTAAAAGAAAAGTAACTATGTTCTTAATCACACTGATCAGAAACATGAAAGCAACATACCTACCCTGAAAGATTTAATATGGAAACTGAACTTGCTTTTCTTCATTTCCCTCCAATTTATTATTCTGTCCACCTCCCCAGAAATATCTTTGAATTAGAATATGAATACAGAAAAAGGAGTTATTGTTTCATCTATAAAAGGGACTAAAGCCTAATTCATAAAGCTTTTGAGTTAATTCAAGAAGAAACCATCAATGAGATGGACTCACAAAATAGTTACAAACAATATCCTCAAACATGTAGTGGTTGTTAGATGCCACAGAGTTGATTCCACTCATAGTGACTCCATCTGACAGAGTATAACTGGCCCAGAGAATTTCCTGTAATCTTCACAGATGAGCTCTGGTAGCATAGCTGTTATGCATCGTGATGCTAATCTCAATCAAGGTCAGCAATTCGAAACTACCAGCTGTCCTGTGGGTGAAAGATGAAGCTTTCTGCTCCCATAAAGATTTACAACCTCAGAAACCCATGCAGGGTCGCTAAGTCAGAACAGACTCCGCGGCACAGAATCATCACCACCAATCTTTACAGAATTATTACATCATCTGACTTTTCTCCTGCAGAACTGCTGGATAGGTTCGAACCCTCAGCCATCTGGTTAGCAGCCTAGCATTTAGTGGTTCCCTTAGACTCAAACATACCAAAGATCATGAAGGTGGTGCAAGACCAGGCACCAAGAATCAAATCAGTAGCAACCACCACTGCCAACATGAGTAGATTCTGATTTTGGAATAGTGCATCTCCGTTTTGATCTCTCTCGTACATGCCATTTCCCTGTTAATGATACCAAGGAAACCTTCTAGGGTGGCAAATGAGCACAAGTATCATTGCAGGATAAGCACCTGACCACAAGGTTGATTTGAACCACAAAGCCAGTGGTTCCAACCTACCAGCCACTTCTCGGAAACGCTATACAAGGTCACTGTGAGTCAGAACCAACTAGATGGCACTTAACAACAACAATATGCAGTACTCAAGATGTTGGTGTTTGGGGTGGGCTCCTGCTTCCTCCTACCTGATGTTTTAAAATGCAGATGTAAAGTTATATGTGTTGGGGATTAGGAAGACAGAGAACTCAGAATTCGTTCATTCATTCAGCAAATAATTTATATTGGTAAAAGCCCTGGGGAGTGCCACAGATGGGGCTGAGGAAGGAACACTGAGCTGCAGAGCTGAGGACAGAGGCAGGCAGCAGGCAGAGCATCCAGGGCCCTTTCCAAGCCTTCAGCGTTGCTCTCTATGTGCTGGAAAACCAGTGGAGAATTTCCCTGAGTAGCTTTGGGTGGTAGGCATAGGAGGAGACTGATGGAGTGGTTCAGACCAGGTTGGGTAGGCTCAAACAAGGGGTGTGGCAGTTGGCCTGGACAGGAGAAGTGTGTGAAATGACTGAGGAGATGGCTTTGACAGAACTTGGAGAGAGAGTTCCTGGGCTCTGGGGTACATGGATGACTTGTACATCAAAGATGGGAGATGCTGGCCTAGGGCAGGAAATGAGACGGGAGACGGTGAGTTTAATTTTGGAAGTATGAAGTTAGTTCTTCATACTTACCTTTCAATGGTAAGTTTTCCCATACCTAGATGTTTTCTTCAGTTAGCAGGAACCTCTGGGAAGTGCAAATCGTTACTGCATTCAGCTGCTATCTGAAAGGTTGGTGGTTCAAGTCCACCCAGGGGCAACTTGAAAGAGTGATCTTCTTCCGGAAAATCGGCCATTGGAAACCCCGTGGAGTACAGTTCTATTCTGACACAAGTCAAAATGTTTTACTGTTTGCAAGAGGTCACTTTGCCCACAACTGACAAAGAATTTCTTTTGTAAAATCAGCTCACGGGTATCCAGGTCAGAGTTGGGAATTCAGTATGTTCTGTTTTTGGTTTTTGGTTTTCACCCTTAGGATTTTTCATATTCATCTTTTACGGTGTTGCAAAAGAGAATGTCAGGAAGCAATGGAGACGATATCTTTGTTGTGGAAAGTTGCGGCTGGCTGAAAATTCTGGTAAAGATTTATCTTGCTTTTCCCCTTCCTCTTAAATTTTGAGGTAAAAATGATTATGTTATGTTAAGATCCCAAGCCGTCATTATCAAAGGGCCCTCCAGTCCACATATCTGTGAATGGTACCTGCTCAGCAGAAAAGCTTGGTTCTGGACATTAATTTAAAATGAAAATCTAGGGAACTAAAAAGTACCGATTCCTATATGGGAATTTAGGGAGCAATAGAACTAGTGGGCTGGCTAAATGCTTGCATGAAGCAACAATGAAATATTTAGGCTTGAATTCTTTATGAGCTCATGCTTTTCATGTACCCAAAGTAATTTTGAGCATTTACCTTTATGACTCAACCTTTTCTCCACAGGTCCTGGTTGTCAGTTGCTTAGTTTGTCAACAGGCCAGACTTCATATACTTGTATAAGCTTTAGCATACATTTGGTGATTTTGAAATTCTTTCTATGTACATCCTATTGTAACAAATAGCTTATTTTTTCAAATACAGAATGATGTAATGTTTGTAAAAGTTTAAATTCGTTTTGCGTCAACAAAAAAACAGTTGCTGTTGAGTTGCTTCCGACTCACGGTGACCTATGTGTGCTCCATAGGGTTTTCAAGGGTTGATGTTTGGGCTTTTCTTCCAAAGAACCTCTGGGTGGACTCAAACTTCCAACCCTTCAATTAGCAGCCAACCATGATAACCATTTGTACCACCCTGGGACTCCTTTGCTTTGCTACCACCCATGGATACCACCTTTGCAGTATCTGGGGGAACACAGGAGTCTGCACTCCCGAAAAAAGCAATGCCCATAGATAGAATTTACTCATTTCGGTGGATTTAAGAAATGTCAGTAATTTGTGTCGTGGACGAGATAGTCAGGGCTTCTGAATTACTTTCTAATTCAATGACTTTTTCTAGACAATCAAATTAGCTTGACCTTTCATTCCAGAAGTATATAGGTGGTTTTTAACCAAGTAATCAGTAAAAGGACAAATGTATATCACCTTAAAGTAAAATACGTTTTATCACACCAGCTTGCTAAATGTATGACTTCTTTGTAAGGTCTTGAAAGGAGAAAGTAGAACTTGTTAACACTGATCTGTCTCTTGCATTGGAGCTTCAACATACTGCCCTGTTTTTCTATAATGCTTATTCTGCTATAGACTGGAGTAAAACTGCTACTAATGGTTTAAAGAAGCAGACTGTAAACCAAGGAGTGTCCAGTTCTTCAAATTCCTTACAGTCAAACAGTAACTCCACTAACTCCACCACACTGCTAGTGAATAATGATTGCTCAGTGCACGTAGACGGGAATGGTACGTATGCCTCAATACAGTATTTGTCAAGCTAGTGTTTGTCTTTTTTTTTCCCCCCAAGTAGTTTTCTCCTTGAATGGCATTTTTGCTAATAAGCCAACGGAAGATGAATGAATCAAAATGTGGTTCCCTTCTAAAACAGAAAATTGATCAACCTAAATGAATGAATTTGTTTCAGAGCAAACACCAGAACCATTTTTTTCCTTGTAAGATTTCTTTTTTTACAATGGGACGTGAGGATAATCTAAAAGTTCTAATGTTGCTAATCCTAGTTGAGTCTGGCCCAGAGACTTTAGTACTGTGCAATTTCTCTGAGAGCCATACTGAAAATAGTCAATGAGTGCTTATCGATATGTATTACATCTACAGTCATACACATCTTCAACACTTTTAAGCCTATGTATCTGTCGCTTGTCATGGTTGTTAATTCTTTTCCTTAACTGGGCTACCAGGTGAAATATACCAATGACCACAGGATGGCTTGTGACTAATGTTGGTGGCCATATAGGTCACCAGCATGTGAGTTGATGACTGCTGAGCCTCCTTTGCTCAAATGCTGACATTTCTGGCAGAAACTTTAATGATCTTCTGGTTTTCTTTCTTCAAATTGGGCTGTTTGTTACTCATGAAAAGCTTTGTCTAGCGTTACCTTCTTTGGCTTCTTAATACATCTCTTACATTTTTATAAAACTCTCAGTTCTGCTTTTATCCTTTCTCCTTCACTGACAATACAATCCTATTTGCCTTTATTCATCGTTTTAGGGTAGAAGTTCTTTTTATGACTGATTCAAATAAAGTTTATGGAAGGCTCATGCATCTACCAAATAGTTTTCCAATTGCCCAAAGATGGGAGGTCCTAATGATTTGTATAGACTTGTAAAATATAATAGGATGCTGCTAAAATAGGCTTTTTCAGACTCCCCACTGGACATTTGGTCTGGCTAGTTCCCTGTAGTGAGGGTCTATCCTTTGCATTATAGGACATGTAGCAATATTCTTGACCTCTGTTCACTAGATGCCAATTGTATCCCCTTCCCCTCATCCCCCAGTTATGACAAACAAAAATTGCTCCTGGTTGAAAACCATTATCCTGAAAGACAAGAAACAGCTGCCACCATGGCCGTATATCTGTTGTAGATATCTGAGGGAAAGCATTGGGCTCTTCATCAGACCCTTCTTTCAGGAATGAGTAAATGTAGATAGTCCAAATAGAGGTGGTGGGAATTCAGCCAGGTTAAGAAGCTGGCATGAGAAAGCAAGTTTAAAATAGAGATATCAGAGGAGCAGGGTGGGCCATGAGGAATGCTTAGATTACAACATATTAGGAAGCCTAACCAGATTTTTCCAGATTCTAGAAACAGCTCACAGATCAAAGTGTTGTCTTCCTTCCGGGAATAGGATTTGATAGAAGCAGCACATTTTGATATGGCTGTTTGTCAAGACTTATCGACTTACCTAGTTTTGATGTGTGACAGTGAGCATGGGGATATATTCTAAGGCCATCAAAATGGCCATATATTTAATATGCATGTTGGGTTGACATCCCTGACTCCTTGGTCCCTATGGGGATGGATGAGGGATGGACTAAGGTGGTGATAATCATTCACATGACTTAGCAATTTCTAAAAAGAAGCTGAAAGTTTAATGATTTGTTTACTGTACAAATATCCCAAAGTCAAAATGACCAAATCAGGGCAGCTGACTCAGAAAGGCACAGGCTCTATTTGAGCTGTGTCAGAAACATCACTTTTGAGCTGTGTAATCTTGGGCAAAGCACTTAATTTACAAAACCTCAGTTTCATCATCTGTGAGATGGGGATATTAATACTACCCACAAGGTCATCAGTTCAAACCCACCAGCTGCTCCTTGGAAACCCTATATAGGGTCACTATGAGTCAGAACCAATTTTACGATACTTCACAACAACGACAACCTTATAGAGTAGAGCCCTGGTGTGGTGCGGTAGGATAAGCACTGAACTTCTAACCATGACATCGGCAGTTCAAACTCACCAGTCACTCCTGGGCAACCCTATACAGGGTCACTATGAGTTGGAATGGACTCCACGGTACTTAACAATAGCAACAATAACCCCAGAGGTTTATAGTGATATAGTACTTACAGTGTGCTTGACACGGTTGCTGTCATTAGTATTATGTCATGAGCTAACAAATGGGTTGCTTACTCAGCTTTTGTCTTCCTTCCAGTGGTATAATGGTCAGAAAGATGGCAGCAGGGATCTGGAGGACCATGGTAGCCATGTCCCCTGTAATTCAGGGCCTGCTTGGGGTAATGGAGGCTTAGCTCCAAACCACAGTTACTCGAGAAAGCTTAGTTCCTCCCTGGCTTCCTCTTAGGTTGGAGTTGGTACTTTCTTCTAGGAAATCAAGTTGATTCTAACACATAGCGACCCTATAGGACAGAGTAGAATAGTTCCACAGGGTTTTCAAGGCTATACATCTTTATAGGAGCAGATTGCCAATTTTTCTCCCAAGGAACAGCTGGTGGGTTTGCACTTCTGACCTTTTGGTTAGCAGCCAGAGTTTAACCCACAGTGCCACCAGGGCTCCAGTTTAGTGTAAGAGAGAGATTGTTTCATCTTAGCTTGACTGTTGTAGCTGGTCTCTCTAATACAAAGTTTCTTTTCATTTCAGAGAACCAAGAACCTTGTAAGGATACACATATTTATCTTAACCTTTTGGTAGTGTTGTTTGGTGCTGTTGAGTCTGTTCTGACTCATAGCGACTCTATGAACAACAGAAGGAAACACTGCATGGTCCTGCGCTATCCATTGATACTGCCACTGTGCCAATCCATCTCATTGGGGGTCTCTTTTTTGTTGACCCTCCACTTTACCAAGCATTATGTCCTTCTCCAGGGACTGCTCCCTCCTGATGATATGTCTGAAGTATGAGAGATGAAGTCTCACCATCCTGGCTTCTAAGGAGCATTCTGGTTGTACTTCTTCCAACACAGATTTGTTTGTTCTTCTGGCAGCCCATGGTACTTTCAAGATTCTTCTCCAACACCAAAACTTAAATGCATCTTTGGTCTTCCTTATTCATGGTTCAATTTTCACATGCATATGAGTCTATTGAAAATATCATGGCTTGGGTCAGGCACACCTTAGTCCTAAATTGATATCTTTGGTCTTGTGCAGCAGATTTGTCTAATGCAATACATCATTTGATTTCTTGACTGCTGCTTTCATGAGTGTTGATTGTAGATATAAGCAAGACGAAGTCTCTGACAACTTCAGTCTTTTCTCCATTTATCATTTTGTTATTTACTCACCCACTTGTGAGCTGCGATCTGTACTGAAGACTGTGGTCTTTGATCGTCATCAGGAAGTGTTTTAAATCCTCCTTGAGTCCTGGTGTGGTGCTGCAGGATAATGCACTGGACTACAAGGTTGGTTTGAACCACGAGGTTGGCAGTCCAAACTCACTAGCTGCTCCTTGGAAACATTATACAGGGTGGCTGTGAGTCAGAATCGACTCCATTAACACTTAACAATAACAACAACACTTTCAAAAAGCCAGTTTGCATCATGTGCATATTGCAGTTTGTTAATGACTCTTCCTCCAGTCTGGATGCTATGCTCTTTTTCATGTAATCCTGTTTATCGGATTATTTGCTCAGCATACAGATTGAATTACTGTGGTGAAAGGATACAGCCCTGTGCACACCTTTCCTGATTTTAAACCAGTTAGTATTCCCTTAAGGTTACAAATTGGGCTGCTAACCTCAAGGTCGGCAGTTCGAAACTACCGGCCATTCCACAGGAGAAAGATGAGGCTTTCTGCTCCCATAAAGATTTACAACCTTGGAAGCCCTGTGCAGGATCCCTATGAGTCAAAATCGACTCCACTAGGTCTATGTACAAGTTTCTCATGAGCACAATCAAGTGCTTTGGAATACTAATTCTTCACAATGTTATCCATTGCTTGTCATAATCCACACACAATCAAAAACCTTTGTATTTTGTATAATTAATAAAGCACAAGAAAACATCTTTCAGGTATTCTTTGCTTCCAGCTAAGATCCATCTGATGTCAGTAATGATATTCCTAGTTCCACATCCTCTTTTGAATCTGGCTTAAATTTCTGCCAGTTCCCAATCAATGTACTGTTGTAGCCATTTAAAAAAAAAAAAAAAATCTTAAGTATAATTTTACTTGCATGGGATATAATGACATTGTTTGATGATTTCTGCATTCCGCTGGGTCACCTCTCTTTGGAATGGGCACAAATACAGATCTCTTTTAATCGGTTGGCCAGTAGCCGACTTCCAAATTTCTTGGCTTAGATTAATGAGCACTGATGCATCCGTATGTTGAAAGATTTCCATTTGTATTCCATCAATTCCTGATGCCTTATTTTTCACCAAAGCCTTCAGTGCAGCTTGGATTTCTTCCTTCAGTACCATCAGTTCTTGGTCGTATGCTACCTCTTGAAATGGTTAAACATTGACCATTTCTTTTGGGTACAGTGACTCTGTATACATTCTGTCTTCTCTTGAAGCTTTCTGCATCATTCAATATTTTGCCCATGGAATCCTTCAATATTTCAAGTTGAGGCTTGAATTTGTAGTTCAGTTCTTTCACCTTGAGAAATGCTGAGCATGTTCTTCTCTTTGTCTTCTTGAGCTGCCCTTCGAAATTGTCTGTTCAGCTCGTCTATGTTCTTATTTTTTCCATTTGCTTTAGCATCTCTATGTTGAAGAACAAGGTTCAGAATCTCTTCTGGCATCCATTTTGGTCTTTAATTTCTTTTCTGTCTTTTTAATGACCTTTTGCTTTCTTCCTGTATGATGTTCTTGATGACTCACAGTTCTTCTGGACTTCAGTCATTAGTGTCTAATGCATCAAATCTTGATTTCATGAGATGATCTCTAAATTCAGGTGGGATATATTCAATGTCATATATTGGCTCTCATGGGCTTGTTCTAATTTTCTTCAGCTTTAGCCTGAATTTGCATAGGAGCAATTGATGGTCATGTTTTGGCTGATAATATTGAGCTTTCCTACTGTCTCTTCCCACAGATGTAGTCAATTTGATTCCTGTGTATTCTGTCTGGTGAGGTTCATCTGTATGTTGTTTTAAAAAGGTATTTGCAATGAGTAAGTCATTGGTCTTGCAAAATTCTGTCATGTGATCTCCAGCATCGTTTCTATCACCAAGTCCATATTTTCCAAATACTGACCCTTTGTTTCCAGCCTTTGCATTCCAGTCACCAGTAATTATCAATACATCTTGATTGTATGTTTGATCAGTTTCACACAGAAGAAGTTGGTAGAATTCAACTTCTTCATCACTGATGTGTAAATTTTAACAGCAGTGGTATTAACTGGTCTTCCTTGTAGGGTATTGATACTATCCTATTACAGACAGCATTGTATTTCAAGATCAATTTTGAAATGTTCTATTTGATGATGAACGGTATACCATTCCTCTTGAATTTGTTGTTCCTGGCATAGTAAACCATACGGTTGTCAAATTCAGAATGATTAATACCAGTCCATTTCAGCTCACTAATGCCTAGGATGTTGATCTTTATGCGTTCCATTTCATTTTTTGACAACTTTCGATTTTCCCAGCTTCATACTTTGTACATTCCATGTTCTGATTATTAATGGATGTCTGCAGCTGTTTCTCCTCATTTTGAGTTGTGCACTATCAGCAAATGAAGGCCTGGCAATTTTTACTTCATTTGCAGGAGGCAGAGCTCTTCCCTAGTCATATTTTGAGTGCCTCCCAACCTGAAGGACTCATTTTCTAGCACTGTTATCTGACAGTGTTTTGCTGCTATTCATAAGGTTTTCAGTGGCTAAAGATTGTAATCTGCCTCTGATTTTTCCTAGTCTGGATGCTCAACTGAAACCTGTCCACCATGGGTGACCCTGCTGATATTAAAAAAAAAAAAAAAAACTGGTGATATAGCTTCCAGCATCACAGCAACACGCAAGCCACCACAGCACCACAAACTGACAGAAGAGTGGTGCCTTTTGGCACCATAATATTATGTTAGGCTATGTGAAGGGCTTAAAAAAAAAAAAAACTATGTGGAAATATAGAATTGAAAGATAATGGTATTTTTCTTCAAACTTTTTGAAGTCCTTTCCTATTACACATATGGTGCTACTTGAATTGTAGGGTTAAGAGGCTTTCTGCTCCAGTGAAGATTTATAGTCTCAGAAACTCTACAGGGTAGCTATGAGTCAGAAAGGACTCAGCAGCACTTAACAACAAAACAAAAGCTATCAGAGCAAACAGGTTTCCTAAGCAATCTTCATGTTTGTTTAGTTTCCTTAAAGAGCCCTCAGGGAAGGAATGAAATGTAAATAAAATCAACGTATTTAAATCAGGCATGTTTTCAAGCATGCCTATCTAAAAATAAAGTGATCTTCCAGTTTGGTTGTTGTTTTGTTTTGTTTTTTTTGTGGATGATTCCAATTTGGGTTTTCCGTTTACAGGGAATGCTTCTACAGAGAAAAATGGTGTTTCTTTCAGTGTCCAGAATGGAGATGTGTGCCTTCATGACTTCTCTGGAAAACAGCATGTGTTTAATGAAAAAGAGGACCTGTGCAACGGGAAAAGCCGTATCGCACTCAGAAGGACTTCAAAACGGGGAAGCTTACACTTTATTGAGCAAATGTGATTCCTTTTTCTAAAATCAAAGCATGATTCTTGACAGTGTGAAAATGTTCATTTTTACCTTGTACGCAATGTGAGATGTCCAAAATCCTACTTAATCTTATACTCAGCAACCTCGGGAGGAGTGTTGGCTCATTGAGGGCAGTGGTTAGTATGGGAAGAGGAAGTCAAGGCATTATATTTGCAATGTGGTTACTTATCTTGTATTTTAAAAGATCTGTTTTAAACAACATAGCAAGAATAGGATTCACATTTTAAAGAGATTAAGTTATCTCTGATAACATCCTATAAAAGCAGCCCTGACTTTAGCCTGTTGGTCAGTTGAGTTGTGCATACTCTTGTTGTAGATAAGCTCAAGTCTAGTGACCTACATGTCCAAAATCTTACTTCTTCCTTTTTCATATTTATTTTCTACTGTGTAATTTTATTCTTTTGTAGAATTGTGGTTGTGTTGTTTTGTTTAATGTGACAATTCAGGAATTCTTTACTGGTTAAGTGAATTCTAAAACTCCATTTGGAGGTGATATGGGATGTGAAATACAGAAACTTTACTGAAATTTTAAAAAAAAAGAATGATGCCAGCCAGACTGAACAATATCAGCAGACAGCGCCACAACTCATAGCTTGGCAATGAGTGCCTTTGAGAGAGTTAGCAAAAGGCGCCCCCACTGGTGTGATGCTGTAAGATGAACACTAGACTACTAACCACAAGGTGGATGGTTCAAACCTACCATTCGCTCTTCGGAAACCCTATCTAGGGTCGTTGTGAGTCGGAACTGACTCGAGAGCGTTTAACAACAACAACACTGGGTGGATACAGTCCTCTGTGCTGGTGGCTTGGCAAACATTGGGGCTAGATTTTAGCTCATTCATCCCCTTGGCTGTGCATCCTTGTGCAAGATACAATCTGTACAACTGTCTGTGGCACCCAATTCCAAAATTCAGCCCTGACCAAATCCCTAATTATCTGATGCTGGAATATGCTCCAAGATGTTTTAACTTAACACCTTAGCCACAGAGAGGGATGGAACTGTAACCTAGACCGTATGTCAGGGAAATTGTAACTGTGGAAGGGATACATACACTGCCACTTCTCGAATCTCCGGAGCCTTTTAGAAGAGGGGAGTAGAGTAGGATGGTACTTTGTTCGTTGTTACGCATGCTACACTTTGACCTAGTCAGAGTTATAATTAGCTTTTCAAACGTGTCAAGTCTGGAAGAGTGTAGAGTGACAAGGAAGAGCAGCTACTGGGGATACGAACTATCCTTCAATGCTATGGTTTCTCTTTGTGTCCAGCCCTGATTGCTTTTCCTTATATAGGGTCTGTCTCACTTCGTACCTACAGCTTATTAAGCGCTGCCTCAGTATGTCCTTATTAGGAACGTTTCAAAGCCCTGTAGGTCTTTCACTAAGGTCCCCCTTGCATATATTTCAAGTGAATGTTGTAGCCCAAACTAATCAGAATAATAACAGAATACATTTCTGTGAGTGCTGATTTGCCTTTGCAATCTTTCTTCTCAGATTTATTTAATTGTATTTATGTGTTAAAATCAACCCAAAATGTTAAAATCCATAAAAAATGTTAAAAATGAGCAAAAAATGTTACAATCATCCAAATAAATTTGTAGTTGAGTACATTTATTACCTTTCACAAAGACAAAATGTTTGCCGTCTATTTCTCGGACAGTCTGGCATGGGTGAAGTGTGTTTGATTAAGACTAATGCAACAGTAAACGTCTCATGGGAAACAGCAGGTACATTTGGAAATTAAAGTAAAAGCTGGTCTGCCTGATGAGACCTGTTTCTGAGGCCTCTTCTTCATGTACTCATTATTCAAGAAGATCCCTTTAATACATATTGTCACTGACCTACATGAGCACAGATTCTGATACCCCCTCCACATTCCTGCTTTCTCAGCATCAAACAGCAGGATTTCAAAATGGGATTTGAGCTTCCTGAGGAGTGAGTTAATATATGGAAGCCACAAAAGGGAGAAGCTGGTCTCACCCCCGCAAGAGACCGCTGAGCAGTCTTTCCTTCCAAGATCTCAACTGAGACAGAGATGCTGAGTTTTCGGTTGATAAAGAAGGTGGTGAGACACTCAAGATTTGAGGGGTGAGACCTCAGAAATCAATTTCTAAGACAGATTGTGTAATGAAGGTATACAGAAAAAGAGGTACAGTGTCCCGTGGGCTTCATGCTCTTCCTTCTTTTACCTATGGTGTTCTAGTTTACTTTCTATGTTGATTTTATGGTTGTTGAGAATCCACACAGCCTGACATACACCAATTCAAACATTTCTACATGTACAATTCAGTGGCAGTGGTTACATTCTTAGAGTTATACAACCATTCTCACCCACCTTTTCTAAGTAGTTCCTCTCTATTAGTATAAGCTCACTGCCCTCTAAGTTTCCTATCTAATCTAAAGTCGCTCTTGTCACTTTGATCCCATGTAGATAGTTCTTACAAGAGAGCATTATGTTTAAACCCACAGGTGTTGAATCAATTCTGACTCAGTGTTTCTGAGACTGTAATTCTTTATGGAGGCAAACAGCTTCAGCTTTCTCCCTAGAGCGACTGGTGGGTTTGAATAACTGACCTTTCGGTTAGCAACACAATGTCTAACACACAGACATCTTTTCCTAGTTTAAGCTATTACTTGGTTTTAAGAACACTTCAAGGGATATTTTTGGTTTAAGTTTTAAAGATTATCTTGAGGTAATAGTTTCAGGGCTTCAACCAGCCCTCATGGCTCCAGAAAGTCTGTAATCTATGAGAATTTGATATTCTATTCTTCATTCCACCCCCCACCCCCTTTTTTGGTCAGGATTCTTCTATAGAATATTTGGTGAAAATATTTAGTAATGTGTATGGACTGCAATCTGTAAACCAAACTCTCTAGTCACTAGCTTTGTTTGGTTTTTTAAAATAAAACAGATAAGGGGCAGGGCAGAGAGAATAAGATGTTCCTGAGAAGCATCCTCCTTTGGTTTTAAAAATGGCCCAACATCCTGTGTCTCTAGTGTGAGGAGATAGAGGTGGCACCAATATTAGGAAGCAAGGAATGTTAGAACTTTGGCCAATATTTGCAGAAGCATTTCCTCAGAATATTGGAGAAGTTTGTTCTCCAAAACACACTGCAATCACTAACCACTCAAAGGAATTCTGTTAATTCCAATGAATAGCATCATGATTGTTATCATCAAGAATGGTGAAATAGCTTCATTTGGGATACTGAGTTGTATCTAACAAGGTCACCTAGGAAGCAGGTCAATTTGCTGAAGACTATTTCGACAATGACCAATTCTCCACATGGACTTGTTTGTTATCATTTTGTCTCCATAAGACTATGTTCGGGTCTGCTCAGTTTGTCTTTGCCTCAGCTTCTCACTACTGTGGTTTGGAATCTGAGGAACAGAAAAAAAGGAGAAACTCGAGAGACATATTATTGTGTGTCATGTTGTCAATTCGGACTCAGCAACTCAATAGGACAAAGTATAACTGCCCCAGAAGAACATATTCTTGAATGTGAAGAATTTTTATCAGTATATTCTCTTGTTTTTCCTCCTCAAGCTCCAAGTCAGCATCACAAAATTAAGCAGACACAAATCAATGTATTCTTCAATAGTATATAAGCATATCCCATAAATATATTCTTTATTATGAGTAAATATTATACATTTTTATCTCTTTCATACATAAACACATATGTGAATGTTATTCTTAGGATAGTCTCATAAATATCTTTTTATGTTTTCTCTCTTTACCTCTCAGTCTCAAACTAGCTATAGGATGATGGAGCAGAGATAAATTCAACATTCCTTAAAGCATTGTCATGAAAAACAAAATGATAGCCCATCAACTAAAATTAAATTGTTATAGAAATAACTAAATTTGACCCTCTCCTCTGAGTCAAAGGTGAACTGCTTTTCTTTAGATTCAAAGACCTGACCTGAGCCCTCAAGAGTAATATTTATTGGTTTCCCCTGGAGATGGTGACAGGTAGCCTGAACAGAAGCCCTCCGATGGGTGTTAGACAAGTCTTGTGTAGTAGTGAGGCTTTCATCTATATGAAGATCAAAATTGGCTTCAGATACAAATAATAACATACGCTGCCCCATACCATATCTGACTTTTGAAAAATATTAGAAATGATTTGGAGACAGATTTCTAATGAGTAACAAGAAGAGAAAGCCTTTATGGGTAAGGGGGACAAGATGTGGAGGTTGTATCTCAGAGACGCGAGGCTGCTTAGATACAAGACTGATTTTTTTTAAATAAGGTTTTTATTGTGGATTGAGTGAAAGTTTACAGGGCAGATCATCAGTTTTACATTCAACAAATCATACACCTTGTTTCATTACAATGATTCTAATCCCCTCCATGTGCCATCAGTTAACAGTATTTCTCTCTATTCACTTTAGCTCTTTAAAAAAAAACAACTAAAAAAACCCCACTCAGGCATATATAATAATTAACACCACCAAAGAGCACATTCTGCAAGTCTGCTTCCTGGCCACCAACTCTTAGAACCTCTCTTCCCATGAATCTAGAGTCCTCAGCTGCTCCCTCTCTCCATGTCCCCATCTCTGCCTCCATCTCTGATGTCCCTGCTTCTCTGGATAAGGTCTAGCATTCTGCTTGTGCTTGTCTCCCTTGATGGTCCTAGTGTCCTTTGTTTCTGGACTGTAAGTTTAACTCTCCACTGTTTTTGTTACAAAACTTCTACCTTTACAATTATGACAGTCACAATTAATCATGATACCAATTACTCACTATTGAATCATACGAATCTTATCCCCATCTATTTTAACCAGACCCATCTAGACAAGATGAAAACTATTCAGTGGGGACTCTTTTTCTTCCCTCACACACTGTCAAACTAAACTCCCCTTGAAACCTTGTAAGCCAGTCACTTCGGGCTTTTATCACCCCCTCATTTTAGGTAGCCAACGACAAGACTGATTCTTACACAGCACAACTTTCTAGTCCAAAATGAATCGCTGAAATTAACTTGGAAATGTAAAAGCTAAAATACGTGACAATATTCATTAAAGCATAGACAAAAGCCTAAAAATGTAAACTGACTGACTATACACCAGAAGAGGTGTGTGTGTGTGTGTGTGTGTGTGTACGCGCGTGTGTGTAGCAGAATTGAAAAAGAATGAGATCAAGAAACTGAAAGATGTTTCTATGCTGGATGGAAATGGCAGGCAATAAACAAAGGCTATCAGTTATTTCACCCTGCCTGCAAAATGGGCCCCTAAAGCAACACCCAATCAAACAAAAATAATACCAAAAAGAACCCATGATCTCAGGCAAAGGCTAGTAAGCGTATATTGTTGTTGTTGTTGTTAAGTGCCGTCGAGTCGGGTCCGACCCATAGCGACCCTGTACAGGGTTTCCGAGGGTGTAAATCTTTACGGGAGTAGAAAGCCTCATCTTTCTCCCGCGGAGCAGCTGGTAGTTTCGAACCGCTGACCTTAAGGTTCGCAGCCCGATTCGTAACCACTACGCTACCAGAGCTCCAGTAAGCGTATATATTCAGATTTAAAAAGAAATTTAATGATAACTTAATGTCTAGTTTTATTTACTCCTATTGTTATTAGTTGCCTACTACTCAACAGGGTTTTCAAGGCTGTGACTTTTCAGAAGCAGATTGCCAGACTGGCCTGTCTTCCGAGGTGTTCCTCTAGGTGGGTTTATTCAACGAGTAGTCGAGTTCTTACCTGTTTGTGTCACCCAGGGACTCCTTATTTAGTCCTAAACCATACCCAATGTATGGAGGCATATAACATGGATTACTGCACAAGTCAAAAGCAATAGTAAGAAAAAGTATGTGAATTGATGAGTTTGATGTTTTAGTTCAGTGACAGGGTAAAGCCACATACTCATGTCCTGGATTATCTAACATGTGTGATTAAGGATCTAACGTGCGATTAAGGATCAAACATAGACCCAGCTGAGCAAGACAATGGATAATCATTCATTCATGCAACCAACATTAATTGAACTCAAACTACATGCTCAACACTGTACCAGGTCTGGTTGTTGGTGTTTGGTGCTATGAAGTGTACAACAGAATGAGCACTGCCTGATCCCTCCCTCCCATACCATCCTCATCATCATTGCTATGCTTGAGCCCATTGTTGCAGTCACTGTGTCAGTCCATCTTGTTGAGGGGCGTCCTCTTTTGTGCCACCCCTCTATTTTACCAAGCTGGATATCTTTCTCCAGGGACTGATCCCTCTTGGTAATCTGTTCAAAGCACCTGAAATGAAGTATCACCATCCTTACTTGCAAGAAGCATTTTAGCCGTGCTTCTTCCAAAACAGATATGATTGACAGTCCATGGTATGTATATTCAATATTCTTCACTAACACCTAATTCAAAGGCCTCAATTCTTACTTGTTCTTCCTTTGTTAATTGTCCAGCTTTCACATGCATATGAGGCAATTGAAAATACCATGGCTTGGGTCAGACACACCTTAAAGTGACATCTTTGCTTTTAACCACTTTAATAAAGACGTCTTGTATTGCTCAATGAATATATCATTTGATTTCTTGACTGCTGCTTCCATCGATGTTGGTTATGGATCCAGTAAAATAAAATCCTTGACAACTTCAACCTTTTATCTATTTTTCATCTTATCGCTTATTAATCTGGTTTGAGGATTTTTGTTTTCTTTACGTTGGGGTATAATCTAGACTATGTAGTCTTTGTTTTTCATCAGTAAGTGGCCCAAGTCCTATTTTATTTCAGCAAGCAATATTGTGTCATCTGCATATTGCACATTGTAAATGAGTCTTCTTTCAATCCTGATTCCTATATGGACCCAGGCATGGTTGTTATTGTTGTTGTTATGTACCGTAGAGTTGGTTCTGACTCATAGTGACCCTGTACAGAGTTTCCGAGGCTGTAAATCTTTACTGGAGCAGAAAGTGTCATCTTTCTCCTGCGGAACAGCTGGTAGTTTTGAACTGCCGACCTTGAAGTTAGCAGCCCAATTTGTAACCACTACGCTACCAGAGCTCCTTATATGGACCCAGGCATGGTGAGAATTAACAAATTATTTTTCCAACATGGAATTTACAACCCAGTTAGAAAAACATGGCTTATTCATGTATGAAAACATAAATAACAAGGGGCAACACCTTATTGCTAATGAAAACAGCTGTGGTTTACTAAGTACTGTTCTGTGTTTTAACCATAGTGTTAATATTTTTATGCTTTATTGTTTTCTTAATCTTCACAGCCACCCTATGAGGGAGGTGCTACTATTATCCCCATTTTACAGATGAGGACATTGAAGTTCAAAGACCTAAAACAGCATGTCCAATATCACACTACCTGTAAGCGGTGGAACTTGGATTTGCACACAATTTGGTCTGACTCTAAGTCTTTAGGAGCTCTGGTGGTGAACTTAGACTGCTAACTGCAAGGTCAGCACTTAAACCCACCAACCACTCTGTGGGAGACAGATGAAGCTTTCTGTTCCTGTAAAGATTTACAGCCTCGGAAACTCTATATAGTGTTGCCGAGTTCGAAAAGACTCAATAGCAGTGGTTAGCAGTGGTTTGATTGCGTATCCAAGTCCTGAATTCTTCCTAAAGAAATTGCTATGGGAATTCAAAGACTTGTTATGTGTTATAGAGATGGGTCCGACTTACAATGACCCTGTATAGGAGGAGTTCTGAGAAGCGGCTGGTGAGTTTGAACCACAGACCTTTTGGCTAGCAGTCCAGTGCTTTTCCTACAGCCTAACACCAGGACTACTATTCAAAACGTGTTAAGTGCTGTGGAGTCAGTTTTAGACTCATAGCGTTTCTGTGACTTTAAATCTTTTACTGGAGCACAAAACTTCATCTGTCTCCCGTGTATCCCTGGTGGGCTCCAAAAGTGCGCATTCTAAGGAGGCACAAGATTTCCCATTCAAAGACTTGTTCAGAGCATTCGAATGGCTTCCGACCCTGTACAAGGTTTTGTGAGGAGCAGCTGGTGCGTTTGAACTTCCGACCTTGTGGTTCGTAGTCCAATGCTTGCTTATCCTACAGCGCCAAACCCAGAGACTAGGGTAAGGCTAATAGGAGAAAGGAGTGAACCGGCCCTTAAAGGAAAAATAAGGATCATACAGGCAAAGAAAAAGGGCCTACTGGGTAAATGCATGGAGACTAGCAAAGAGCTTGCAAAATTTTTTGCATTAGTCTGGTTAACCAGTGGAATCCGTGGACAATGAATACAGGGCCGATATTTCTGAATTGGAGGTCCTTCCCCCTGTTTCCCTTACTCCAGTTCTTTGGAAGTGGGGGCAGACCAAGGGGCAGGGCTACGATCACGGCCCACAGAGAGGCGCCCAATGGGTGGTCAGTGGTTGAGTTGGAGGCCCGCCCAGGGGCCTCCCCTCTGCAGCTCAAGGCAACAGCTTAGTGGCCCGCCCAGAGCTCTCCCAGCCACCGCCTCCTTTCCTTGACGCTTTGGCCGCCGTCCTCCAGTTCGGTTCTGCGAAGGAGGCGGGGCGTGGGCGGGACCGGAGTGGTGAAACCCTGTGTGACGCAAGCGGGGAGGGCAGGGCCTCAGCGGGCCTTTTCCTAATCCTTCCCTCCGAGGCCGACCTCCGCGGGTTCCGCTCCGCGCGGGGGCTGGTCCAAGGCGCCCAGGTGGGTTGGCTTCCTCTGGCTTCGGGGAGAGTTGTCGGCCCGCGGGAAAGGAAAGGAGCTTGGAGAGGTAACCTCGTGCCCCTCCCGGAGCCGTGTTCTCCGCTGCTCCTTACCCTTTTCCTTCCCCCCTAAGGCTGGATTCTTGTTGGTTCCGTTGGGCGGCGAGGGCGGGAGTGTGAGCTGGACGGGAGTGGAGCTCCCCGGCGACCTGGCTTGAGTCTCCCGCCTCGGGAAGGGGTGGTGCCTGCCTCAAGACACTTGTGAGGCTTGGTTGGGGCATTCTAGCTTGTCGACCTAATCCAGTCCCCCGTCTCCCAGCCGAGCTGAGGGTGGCCTAGTCAAGGCAGCGCCAGCCCCCGGCTCCGCCCCCGCACCGCGCCGCTGTGTGTGAAACTCTGGTTGGCTCGCTTTCCACTACATTCAGATTCTATTCATTTCAAAAAGTCTCGACTTCCTAGGCCCCCAGCCGAGAGCCATCCTAGACTGTAGGTGTCTTGAGAACCCCGTTAGCTCATCCTCTCAGCCCCGCGCACCAGGTCGGGTGCTACACCCCCGGAGCAACGAGAAGATGCGGAGCAGGAGCAATTCCGGGGTCCGACTAGACGGGTACGCGCGCCTGGTGCAGCAAACCATCCTGAGTTACCAGGTAAGGAGGGGACCACCTCGAGGGTAATTATAACCCTCTCCAGGCCTTCGACTTGTGATCCTGCAATTAATAGGTTTCCTCCTTAAATCCAGTCCTCACTAGCCT